TTTTAACAAAGGCCCAACTGTGGCCATATTTGGGCCAATCCCCCCGTATATATTGCATAATCTTGTCATCAAAATGAAAATCATCAGGGATGCAGTCCAACTGTTGTGGGGCCAATCTTTTTTGCTTCTGTCCTTTTGCTGCACCACTAGCAACGACATTTTTAATTAAAGTGCGATATGCCTAAACAAGCGTTTGACCAAACACCATATCGATGATGGCACAATCGGGATACAATAGATCACCATCAGTAGTCTATCGTAGCCTCATCAGTGCCAATATCTCATCGATGTGCTACATGATTCGTGTTTCCTACAACATGCAATATGTAGCAAGTATACTAATCGCACAAGTAATAAAATGATGAGTAGAGTATCGTTCCCACAAGGATTGTTAGCTAAGCACTAAGTTCCCTAATGTTATCTAGTTGAAGCAATCGACTTCTTTGGATTGATGGGAGCTAATTCTAATTAAACCGAACAAGACACTTTTAAACTAAAATTTAACTAAGAATGCAAGATTAAAAACACTGAAAAATCAATTCAATTAAAACGGGTAGGGTTTTGACTTCATTCGGATTTTATGGGTTAAACCTAAAATTTCACTAAATTCATATTCATACGCAATGGTTGTAAATCGAATTCACTAAGGTGTTAAACATAGCCCGAGTGTTAAACATACCCTCTCGGGCTATGTTTTACTATTCATCCTTATTAACCTTCCGCACCCAACAAAATAAAGGTTAACAATTCCAAACTCATTAAGCAGAAGAATCCTACAATGATTTCATTAATTCTTGAATCTATCTCTAGCATCCAATACTATAATGGTGATTACCCAGTAAGCCTAACATGATTCATTTCTCAATCTCATCATATTCATCACTTATAACAATAAAACTCAGAGTAAACACACAACCAAAGCATACTCATATGAAAAATAAACAATCAAACACTTAACCCATTAAAATCCAAACTACAATCAAAACCCTAACCCAAAATAGGTTAGTTCGTAGCTAAATCAACAATACAAAAACAAACAACGAAAATAATCAAGTTCAACATAATGAAACTGAAATAAAAGATAAGAAATCTCCCCAAAAGATGAATCCCTTAGTTAGAATCGAATCTTCACCCTTCTTACAATCCAAATCGCTCAAAGTTTAATCCAAGAAAAATGTAAAAGCTGTTTAACCTAAAAACGAAGACTCCCCGAACAAAATGGCTAAGTGTTTCTTTTATACCTCGCCCATTACCCAGCAAAAAAAAAAACACGCACAAAGTAAAACTGTGCGTTTAACAAAATTGAAATTAATGATCGTCGCTGCGGCGAAGAATTTTTCTTCGCTGCGGCGAAGAGAGAAGCAGATCTTGCTCATGACTGGCTCACTTCGCCGCGGCGAAGAAGAAATCTTCGCCAGGGCGAAGTTACTTGAAAGGTTCTAAATTTACAGAACTGCCACTCTGCTTGCTTCTTTGCTTTCTTCTTCGATTCTTGGTGCTTTCCCTTTGGAACAAGCCTTATCGTGCTTTATCTTGCTTCAGAACTCTCCTAACTTCTGAGATCCGTTAACTTTTGAGTCAAAAACTTCCAATTTTGTCTTTATTTGCTTAAATTGTCCATTTTAACCTGAAATACAAAATGTAAAGAATTAAACATCAATTCAGGTCAAAATGCACCAAAAAGTACCTGAAATCCGAATAAAAAGACTAATGAAAATTGTATAATCCACGGATTATCACTACATCAAATAAAAACAACAAGATAAGTATGGAAAATATAGGCAAAAATAAGGAAAATTAAGTGAAAATAACTCACCGAGTCCTCAAGCCACTTACCCATCGTCAACAACTTTTCAAACCATTCACAGGGATAATCCCCTATCTTACACTTTATATGGGCATTAATTCCTAATCCATTGTAATAGGCATAGAAGAGTTTTTTCTTTTCCTCTATTGGCCTATACAAATTAACATTTGAGTCCATTTTCGCCTGCCCACTTCCTCCACCTTTCTCCATTTTTACATCCACGCTTCATTCGCCTCCCACCTCGCCCTCCTCTATTATCACCGCCCTACTTCCTCCACCAACCTCCTTAACCTCCTCAATTTCTGGTTCTGCCTCCATTTGTTTCTTAATTTTCTTCTTCTTTACCTGTGTCACTACCATGTAAGGCGATTTCACAAACTTGCTCTTTCAGCTTTCTCTTTTCAGCCAGTTTGCACGTCAACCGTCTTTAATTCTCCACCAACTTCCTCCTCCACTATACCAACTTTCTCTGCCAGCTTATCCACTTTCTCCTCCACCCTTTTCATGCGCTCTTCCATCTTGTCAAACCTGTCATAAATGGCTGCTGTAAAACTGTCAAACAGGCCGTTTATGAGGTCAACCACCTCATTATCCCAATGCCAATGTCTTGGCAAAGCGGTACTTGTTGTACCGGTTTGCTGAGGCATACAAACCTCTTCCTCCCTTTTCTTCTCCTCTTCCTCGGGCCTCCGGCCGATTGAAACTTCATCATCCTCGACATCAACCACGTTGTCAAGCAGTGGCCCTGCAACTGCCGTCACATGCGTGACCCCTTTTAGGTCCCACATCAGGCGGTCTATCCCTTCATCCCTTGCATCCTCTAGTGCTTTGAAAGATGTGACATAGTCCTCTTCCTCTTCATCCCCAGCAGCGATGAGAAAAGGACGAACGACTCCCTGCAATAAGAAACAAAATCAATCAGATTGAAGCGACATTTTAAAGCAACTGCATATTCAAAAGCTTAATCCTTTAATCTTACCCTAGGCACTTCAATCTCAATGTCTATTTGGTCGTAATCCGAATGGGTGCACTTCTCGACATGCCACCGTAACATCCTAGGAAATTGCTGTTGCACATCCAAACTGTTGCTTCTCCCCCCCGCCTTAGCGAAGACAAGGATGACCTCGTACATCCAAGCCCACATTGTAAAAAAAACAGTCCATATCATAATTCAAACACACATATTATAAAAAATATAACAAAAAAGCTATTAATATTTACCTTCATTGCCCATGGGAAGCCAAACAAATTGTATGTGTTTGGTTTATCCTTCCCGACCCATTGGGCCTGCTTTAACGCCATGTCTGGTTTTTTTAGGTTGTTGATGGTTCGCTCAAATGATATTCGTCCCACAGATAAGAATTAAAGAACTCCAAGTCGCTTGCAAACAACAACAAATCATTCTCAACAACTTTTGTTGAGTCACCAACCAATAAGATCGAATGTAAAAACAATACTAAGCACACTTTTATCTTCTCTCCATCATTAAACCGAACTGTTTGTAGCCTCTTCTCTAAAACTTGTCCTATAATAGACTTTGTCCCCTGCAAAACCTTTTTACAAAACCTTTTGGCTCCCAGACTCATCCTTATTGCGTCTGCCTCTGCCTTATCTAGCACTTCCTCACATCCGAAGCCCGTCACCAAGGCATACTCCATCATTCCAAAACGTAATGGCTTTCTGTCCACCACGAACCACAGTTTTTTTTTAATTGCATTTTACTGAGTGCAGCAACATGTAATGCACTCCCTGCCCCCAAAATGCCTTTTTCCAATTTGTTCCGATTCTTAAAAACCGACCGAAACAAATACAATGGAAATCTTTTGCACTATGCCTCATTCCAGCTAAAATGTCCTTTATTCTGTCAAAAACATCCCAACTCGACCTCACTGTCACCCTTGCAAGGAAGTAAGGTACCTTATCACTTATAAGCTCCAACTTGTAGTCCCTATAGTTTACGGTCCGCACAATCCGCACAATCGATATACACAAAATGTCAACAACAAAAATAAACCAAAACAACTAATAAACAAAATATCAGCAACAAAAAATTACCATTATAGTCGCTTAATCGATTTCGGATCGCTTAAGAGATCTTGACTCTATCTCGTGCAAGATCGCTTAAGTGATTTCAGTGATCAGAAATCGCTTAAGCGACCAAGAGTAAACTGAAAGAATCTATTAAGTGACACAAAAGATCACTTAAGCGATCTTATATCTATGATTCTGCCTTGACAAGATCGCTTAAGCGACCAAGAGTAAACTGAATCAATCGCTTAAGCGATCATGAGTAAAAGAGATTAATCCCTTAAGCGATATAAATGATCGCTTAAGCGACAGTACAGAGCAATATTCTCAAAACAAATACGTACCCTTTCTTCGTCGGCCTCCTCCTCGTCGCCTGAATCCTCGGACGACTCCTCCTGGCCTGAATTCTCGTCGGACTCCTCCTCTTGGCTTGAATTCTCGCCTGACTCCTCGTCTTCAGAACTGTTTGTCAATTCTTCTCTCTGTTGTTGTGCCGCCGTCGTGTCCTCTGCCTGTGGACCACCTTCACTGATCGGATGATCCACCGGAGCAGCCATTAAACTGCTTGCGCCATCGGAATCTAGGATTCGAAGTGGCGTTGGGTTTTCCCCCTCATTGTGAGTGTCAACCATGGTTTTGGATTGAATTTGGTGTCAAAGTTTGCAGTTTCGATCGGAAATATGGACTGTATCGCTGAAAATCGCACAGATTCCGTTTAGGGTTCAAGAAATCGATTTTAGGGTTCAAGAAATCGATCGGAAATCGCGACTGTATCGCCAAAAATCGTGACTGTATTCCGTTTAGGGTTCAAGAAATTGATTTTAGGATTGAATATAGTGTGTAAATTTGCAGGTTCGATCGGAAAAAATCGCAGTGTCTCCCTTTGGTTTAAAAAATCGCTTTTTGCCTTAATGAATTTCGATTAAGCGAGGTGAATAGATGGGGCTTGTTTTGATAAATTTTAAATTTTAAAAACTTTCATTATTTATTATTCGGCCTATATATGTTTTAATCTTTTTATTTTAACCTATTTTACATGTTTAATGAATCCTAACTATGTCACGTCAGCTTCTTTAAATTAAAAAAAAATGAAAAACATTTTCAAGGCATCTTGTTAAATGGAAACTTGGGATGACGGCGCAGCTAAATTTTCTCACTATAAACCCTGTAAGTGAAACTTGAAAGTAGAGAAGCATTTCAGTAATGCAATCAAAGAAAAGGAGACCCAAGCTCAGGTTTCAATTTATTCGAGCATTTATGTAGTGTTCTCTCAAGTTATTTTTATTTGTAGGATATTTGTTTTTCTGGGTTTATGTTGTGATAAGAATGGAATTTATGTTTCGATGATGCTGGATAGATTGGTTTTAGCTACTCTTCATTGTGTTGATGGTTTAACTCCTAGTTATTCTATAATTGCTCAGTTTTTAAACTCAATATCATATTCTGGGTTCATACTGCTTTACTGAGATTAGATTTTCTCATTTCTGGGTTCATAGTGTTTAACTTTATCTCTCAAAGATCTCACTATCTCGGTTTCTAAGTCTTTTTATTTACTGTTTTGCTCCTTATTTTCCCTTCACTTTATATATGTATATGTAACCAACTTTATATATATATATAAAGTTGGTTACAAGCTTCTGTTTAGAATTGGGTAGATATTCTGATTTTGTTATCTATATTTGTTTTTTGTATGTCCAAAGCTGAAGCTCACTAAGCGTTTGATAAAAGTTCTCAATGAAATTAACAAAATAAAGAAAGAAAATTTTGTTAGCCACTTTGAGGAGTTTTGTCAGTCATGGGGATTTCCCTTATAGATGAATTCTGTTTTTTACTTGAACCTTATGGGATAATTTGGCCCCTCAATTGTACTTCTTGTCTAAATTCCTTTTAGCAATGTGTGTTCATGGGCCTTTCTGAGATTTTTGTTTATTGTTTGTTAATCTTGTAGGAGGTGTGAATGGCTGTTTTCATTGTGCTTGGCCCTGTGAAATTTATCCTATTAACGTTATTTTTGTCATTACACTGCTAGTTATCTAATCACCCGCTTTCAATTTTGTTTTAGCTTCAAATGCATGACAAGGTTATCAACAGCATTGAAATGTGGCTTTGTTTCTCCTTTTCTTTTAACCCTATTTCCTATGGGAAAGTTGTATCTGAAATTCTCAGTTGCAGGCTTTTGTTTAGTCACTAAGAAACTGTGATGCTTCTTTTCTCAAGTATTTATTTATTTTCAGATGAAAAGGCTGAATAGTGAGAGACTACAGATGAATGAGAGAGAAGAAGAATATGAGACCAAGCCCAACTTACTTTGTTTTAGAATGAATATTCAGTTCACTCAGATTCATTTCAGCCGTAAATATAAATGCAGTTAGTTTAGGTTTCCATAAATTCAGGTTGGCTACGACTTAAGACTCTATGCTTGCAAGACTACATATGTTTATGTCAGATCTTTGCTCTCTCTCTCTGAAAAATAAAAATGCTGATTAGACACTTGAATTTTGCTAAACGATTAACAACCTTTCTTCAATATCAAAAGTTCCACATCCACCTCTTAACCACCAGAGAGTCAAATCATTCCCACCTCTCCATCTCCACCACCACTAACCCAGTCAATCCAGCCCACCTCCTTCGAGTCTGCACTGTCCTTTACCAACAACAAAATTCACCTGAGTCACGCCTCCACTCAAGCCTCTCCTCCTGCAACTTCAACCTTACTCACGAATTCTTCCTCCAAGTCTGCAATAGCTTCCCCCTTTCTTGGCGCCCCATTTACCTCTTCTTTCAATACACTCAAAAGGCATACCCACATTTTACTCACAACTCAATCACCTTCAACAAGATGGTGGACATAATAGGTAAATCAAGAAATATTGATCTGTTTTGGGAGGTTTTGCAAGAGATGGGACAGCGTCGTCTAGTAAATGATAAGACTTTTAAGATTGCATTAAAGACTTTGGCTGAGGTTAGGGAGTTGAAAAAGTGTGTGAACTTTTTCCATATAATGAATGATTGTGGGTGTGATTATAGTTTGGAGAGGTTAAATAAGGTGGTGGAGATTTTGTGTTCAAGTAAACTTGTTGTTGAGGCCAAGTATTTGGTTTTGAAGTTGAATGAATGGATTAAGCCAAATGGGATTACTTATGGGTGGTTGATTAAAGGGTTTTGTGATGTGGGTGACTTGATTGAGGCTTCCAAGATTTGGAACTTGATGGTTGATGAAGGGTTTATTTCAAGTGTTGATGTGGTTGACAAAATGATAGAAACTTTTTTCAAGATTAATAAATATGAGGAGGCCATGAAGGTTTTTCAGATGATGAGAGTCAAGAGAATGGATGAGTTGGGGCTCTCAACTTATAGACTTGTGATCAATTGGATGTGCAAAAGAGGAAAAATTTCTCAAGCTTATGTGATGTTTGAGGAAATGCTCAAGAGAGGGATTGAAGCTGATAATTTAACATTGTCATATGTAATTTATGGGCTTTTAGCAAGGGGCAAAGTTAGAGAGGCTTATAAAGTTGTTGGAGCTGTTGAAAAACCAGATATTAGTGTGTATCATGGATTGATAAAGGGGCTTTTGAAGTTGAGGAGGGCAAGTGAAGCAACACAAGTGTTTAGAGAGATGATAAAGAGAGGGTGTGAGCCTACAATGCATACCTATATAATGTTATTGCAGGGGCATTTGGGGAAGAGAGGGGGGGGAAAGGGGTAGATCCATTGGTGAATTTTGACACCATTTTTGTTGGAGGTTTAGTGAAAGCAGGGAAGTCATTAGAAGCTACCAAGTATATGGAGAGAGTGATGAATAGAGGTGTTGAGGTACCTAGATTTGACTACAATAAATTTTTGCATTATTATTCTAATGAGGAAGGTGTGGCTATGTTTGAGGAAGTGGGGAAGAAATTAAGGGAGGTGGGGTTGGTTGATTTAGCAGATATATTGAAGAGGTATGGGGAGAAAATGGCAACTAGAGAGAGGAGAAGAGATAGAGCTGATGAGCCATAAGATGAGTTCATAGATCTAATTGTGAATTTTACTTGTATAAATTACTAGACATAGCATATTGCACTACTTGAGTCATGATTTATCTTTCAGAGTGAGCAGATCAATGATACCAAGTCTGATGGTTGTTCAATAGAACTCCTATTCAGTTGCTCTCTTAAACTAATGATTTTGCGGTTCATTTATGTCATGATGCCGTACAAATTGATGTGCGGAGCAGAACCTAAAAGTACAGATGACTTGGATTGCTTCAAAGGCATGCACATGTATGTCTTGTGTGGAGATGTGGAGCTGATTGCCTGTGGAAGTTAGCAGATGAGAAGGAAAACGGGGATCTAAACAAAGGCATACAAACCAAGTGGTTATTGGAAGGATTGAAGATGCATAGGAGGTGACTCTGTACCTTAATGATCAGAAAATGACTAATGAATAATAGTATTTGAACCAAGGTTCCCTGGGGCAAAATTTAAGTTGCTTTCGAATTTTCTAAGTATGAATAGTTGGTAGGAAGAGTGTCCAGTTCTTCCCTTCCAACGTTCATCAACTTGCCTTATTTTTTGTGTTAAGAACTGTAATGTCAAAATATGAAATAAAATCAATAGTTGATATTACACAGTATATAATCTGTTTTATTCGTGGATGGGAGATGTGTGCTTTTGGAATGATAACAATTTGATATTTTCACTCGTAAAATTGTTTTATTTGTTAACATGTGAGATTAGCTGAGCATTCAAGATACTATAAATAAATTTGTTCATTATATTAATACTATATTTTCTCTTCATATCATCAAAATTTTTAAGCTTAATCTCTATGTGTCCAACTCCAAGGTTATAAGTTAAAGAGCAATTTTCTTTTTAATTTTTTTTTCAAAGATTTAGTAAATGTTTAACCTTAAAATTGTGAATATATGTATATACTTTTTTTTTATATATAAATTATTACATTTATGAAATTGAAATGGTAATTATTGATAGAAAAAATAACATTAATCCAATTCATCAATCAAATGGATGTAAGAAAACTTAATATGATCATTATTATGTTATGTCACATCAATTTATACTAATTTAGTTAATGATCAACTATATATAATAAATTGTATTGATATAATAATTAATTTTATTTATACCTCCGGTTAAGAAAATAAAACAACTGGGAATCTCTTGGTCCAGGGGAACGAAAACCTTGTACTGTAGTATGCTTCCTGCATCAAACAAATAATAATAATAATAAAATAAACCGTTATAACAGAAATTGCAACGGTCACCTTTTCAAATATTCAAAATGAAAACGAAAATCCCCTCAATTTAACACTCACTCTCCAAACTATGTAAACCAAATTATCTTACACACAATTACAAAACCCTAACCATTGTCCACATTTTTTTCCTTCTAACAGTTGAAGAAAGATCTAAATCTCAGTCCTAAAATGGCTGAAAACAAACCAGAAGAGAGGAAAATCCCAGTCTTTACAGTCATAAAGAACGGTGCCATTCTCAAGAACATCTTCGTCATCAACAAACCACCACCACCACCATCACCCTCCATCACGGCCGTCGAAAATGAAGAAAACTCAGTTCAAGAAGATGAAGAGGAGGAGGAGGAAATCTTGATGGTTGGTCGACATCCAGATTGCCACATCATGTTGACTCACCCTAGTATCAGTAGATTTCACCTCCAGATTCACTCTAAACCCTCTTCACAGAACCTCTCTGTCATCGATTTATCGTTTGGTAATATAAAATCTTGATTATTAGTTGGTGATTTCTTCATTTAATTTTCATGCGTTTGTGTTTATTTGGAGGGTTTTTGGTACTTGATGGATTGCAGTACACGGGACGTGGGTATCAGAAAGAAAGATTGAATCTTGTGTTCCTGTGGAGCTGAATGAGGAAGATACTATAACGATTGGTGGGTCAACTAGGATCTATAGGCTGCATTGGATACCTCTGAGCCACGCATACGATATGGATAAACCGTTTGTATCACCCTTGGATGTGCCCGTCGCAGAAGAGAAAGAAGAGGAAAATCAAGTGGAAACGCATCAGGTGGGAGTTTACGGCTTACTAGTGAAAATGATGAATGCGCATTTGTTTTTAAATTAAATTGTTCTTGATGTTAGATTATGAATTCAAAGTAAAATTTTTCTTTTGTAACAAATATAGAATGGTACTGGAAGGAATGGAAGTAGAAACATGTTGAGTCGTTAATTTTGGATGAATAAAAACTAGTTGAAGGTCTTTGTTAAGTTGTTCTAGTTTTCACTCTGTCTTGGTTGAGAAGTCTGACCCATTTGAGACTGGAAAAAGTGAATTTCATTGGTAGTGGAACCAAAAGAAGAATTGAGAGTTTATGGGTTAACAGTGAAAATGATGAATACCCATTTGTTTTTTCTTTTATTAAATTTCCCTTGACTTTTTTTCTGCTTGGACTATGAATTGAGAGTAAGCTTTTCTTTTGTAATAAATAACATGTTGGGTGGATAATTTTAGGTGAATAAAAGCTTATTTTGAGGTGTTTTTTAAATTGTTCTTCTTGTTTTCGGACTGTCTAGGTTGAGAAATCTGAGCCATTTCAGATTGGAAAGAGTGAATTGAGTGGTTCATTGGTAGTGGAACCAAAAGAAGAACAAACATGCCAGGTGCGAAGATATGATTGCATGTGTACAATGTTAGATTAAACTGCTCTTTGAAATGTTCTTGATATCTTCTTGTTTTTTCTGTTTTTACTTGGCATAGGGTTTGAATTCTTTTTCAACTGAAAATTGTGAACAACTTGAAAAGAAAAAGTCATTGGTGGTGGAAGAAAATGAAGAAGGAATTTGTCAGGTGAGAATTTATGGTTGAAGAACTAGAAAGATGACTAGAAAGATAAATTTGAGTGTTTGTCCAAAATTTGACTGATATTCTTCTTTCCCTTGTACAGGATGAGATTTCTATTTTTGTTCATGATAAACCAAGTCAATCTCTGGATTGGTTTTTGGAGGGGATTATTTCCTTGTTTTGTGATGAGGGATCAGAGTTGCTTCCGGAGACAGAGATTCCATTTTCTGGGATTGTACCAATAGACTTGGCTTGTCCCGCTGGGGGTAATATGTCAGTGCCTAAAGAGCAGCAAATTGATAAAGATAATAAAATCCCATGTCATGGTTCTATAACAGAATTTATGCCAGAAACTGAAAATTTAGAGAGTTCCTTAAGATTAGAGAAAAAATCCAAGGTTTACTCTGGTAAAACGGAAAACCAGAGTCCATTGCAAGAAGACAATGTGATGAAGAATAATTTAGAAGTTTAGGCTGGGTCTCTTATGAAAGAGTCTACGAATTCATCTTCGGTTTTAGGGGGAGTTGGATCAGAGATCATTACTGAACAGGTCCACAGAGAAAATGAACCGCTGCTGTCCGTCGTTATGCAACCATCTGAGGCAGAAATGCAAGAGAAGCCTTCGATGGACAAAAACTTGAATTTGCTATCGGCTTTAAACTCTGGTTGCTCTAATGAAGAAGGCTTTCCAGAAGCTGAATTGTCTAAAGCTGGAAACCACAGCCCAAGGGAAGGCCTTGAACAGAAGGAAATACCAAGCTTTTGTTCTTCTGTTCTTGAAGAGTCTGTGAACTCGTCTTTGCCTGTTGGGGAAGTACGCACGGAGATTATGGATAACAAAAATAGCCAGACTCCACAATCTCTGTTTTATACAGAAGGTGTTGAAGACCAAGAAAACTCTGAAGTTTCTCCACTGAGATCAGATAGAAAGCTTAGCTCACATAGCATTTGGTCAAGAAGAGGTAAACCAGCGAGTGTTCTACAGATTCAAACAAACTATAGAAGCGGAGGAAAGACAACAAGAAGTCACAGTAAGGCTGATGTAGAACTGCAGATACAGGAGGATATTGAAAACAAATCAATTTCAAAGATACTTTTCGCTGGTTTTGAAGAGGAGGAAGAAGAAATCTTTACTCCAAACAAGGAGAATTTCTCCCCAGATACTCTTCCACTAAAGTCCTTGAAAAGGAAGGGTAAGCTGGAAAAAATTAAGCCTTCCAGGTCATACAGAAAATCCTCCTCAAAGGTTACTATTAGCCCCAATATCCAGCCAGAAGAAGACTTGAATTTTTCTTCAGACAAAGAGAACCAGACACCAAAAGTTCTCCAAGAGCAGAAATTAGCAAGACATGCCTCCAGAAATCAAGTGAACTTGGAAGAGGAGAGGGCGATAATGAAGAAAAGAGCAGAAAGGGTGCCATTTCAATCCCTTGTGGCAAACTCTTCAGGTCAGAGGGGATCAGAAGCCTCACTTTCTAATGCCACAACAAGAAGCAGTCATTCTATCAATTTGCTTCAACCCATGAAGGTCACTAATTCCTCGTCCATTGGAGAGAGAAGGAGAAGCTGGGCCATGGTAGTGGATGCCGCTACTCTTCTAGACAAGGAGTCAAGGAGATCATTACAGATATTGCAAGGTCACTTTCTAGTGTCACCAGTCCAACAGAATATCGTGACGGATATTCCTTCAACCTTGCAACTCGACCCAGCTGTGATGAGTTACTAAGAGAGGTTTAATAATACTCTCCAAACGGTCCACCCCCACAAAAGTGCAAGGCAGGGAGATTCCCAATATAGCCGAAATGACAACCTCAACCGTCGTCATACGGGTAACCCTCGTTGTCCACGGGTTGGTTCGGACCACCGCAAAGTTCGGGAAAACTCCCCAAGCCATTCAATGCCTTCACACGACCCCAGCCAACGTGTGTCAAGGTTCATCAAAGCTTTCGACTGAGTTAAGGAGGAGCTCGATTTGCAGTCTTTTCTCAACCGCAACCGTGAGGTGCGGAAAGTTATCCCTAGGTAGCTCCGCTATCTCAGATTGAGGAACTACAGGGAGCTTTGGATTAGCTCAAGGCTTAGTAGAATGAACGTGGGAAGGTCATAGAGGATCCCTTTTCTCCAGTAGTTTTAGCTATTTCTCTCCCTATGTGGACATTCGATAGGAATTCAAATTCATAGGATCACCTTTACGAGTTCAACAACCTTATGGAACTCCACCAAGTCTCCGACTTGGTCAAATGTCACTGCTTAGCAGTAACCCTAACTGCCCATGCCAAGCGCTGGTTTTGGTCGCTTCCCGCGAGATCAATCAGCTCATGGCATCAAATGAGCTCATCATTCCTAAGACACTTTTAGACAAATAGGAAGTTTTCAACGTCGTTGAGCTACCTGAGCAACATACGGTAGAAGAGGGATGAATCTCCAGTCTTACATAGATAGATTCATAGGGAACTCCACAATGTGGCTCATACTTTTGAGGAGTCCGTTCGGACTCTCATTATCGTAAGGGTTCCCCCACAGACAGATTTGTGGCAGGAACTATAATCCGAGGATGATGTTTTTCTCACTCGCTTCTACAACCTCTTTGAGAAATGCCTCCGAATTGAAAATTCTGTGGCCGTTCTCAATCGCCACCACCCCGGTCCCTCGAGCAATGCTTTTAATCGGGGGGAGAATAGTAGAAGGGCTAATCGCAAATGGGCTAATGACGATCAACAGAAAGGAAAGAAGCAACGATTTGAGCCCAATAAATCTTATCCCCTAATTCCGTGTCGCGATCTTGACAAAGTCAATACACTCCTTTGAATGTCTCAGTGTCGACCATTCTGGATAAGTCAGAGGAGGCTAGTCTGCTTGGAGAGCTAGAACCCATGAAGAATCCCCCTTCAGCCAAAAACAGCAAAAAAATGCTGCCACTATCATCAGGATAATGGGCATCACACCATGAGTGTCAAGCTCTTAAGCAATCAATTGAAAACCTCATCAAGTAGAGGCATTTCAAAGAGTATGTCGATGGTCCAACTCCCATTCGGAAAAAGAATCAAGAGGAACCAAGGAAGAAGCGTCGAGGTCGCAAGGGTCTCTACTGTGTAGGGATCATCCTTGGAGGACCACACCTCATAGGGAATTCTCGAGGTGCCTAGGAGAGATATGCTCTAGAAGCCAATCATGATCCCGTAAGTAAGTGTAATGAGCACGGCGTTGTGACCCACTAAGGTTCGCAAGGAAGAGGAGATCACCTCCTCTAAGAAAGACGTAGTGGGATTGCATCATCCCTATGAGGATCCACTCGTCATCGCGCTTGAAATAGGCCAGTGTGAAGTCCACAGAATGTTGGGGGACAATGGAAGCGCTATGAATATCCTGTTTCAGCGCGCTTTCGAGAAAATGCAACTGGACGAGGCAGACTTGAAGCTTGCCTCCATCCTTTTCGGGGATCATCTGATTCCTAGGGGAACGATCTCATTCCCGATCATGTAATGACCAAAATGACAGAATTTTTGGTGGTAGACTATCCGTCCGCCTTCAATGGCATCTTAGGAAGACCTCTATTGAGAAATTTCAAGGCAGTCACCTCCATCTACCATCTAAAAATGAAGTTTCCCACTCCAACAGGGATCGAGGAAGTAAACGGATCACAACGCAAATCTTGCGACTGCTACATAAAAGTAGTGCAGATGGCGTGCAAGGGAAAAGGAAGACCAATAGGCATCCCCGAGCAATCTATGGTGATTAGTAGGATCGAGCCAGAACACGGCCTAGTAGAGGATAACATATATCTTTGCATCCAAGAGTGCCCCCATAGTGAGCCAATTAAGGACTTATTTGAGGTGTCAGTCGATTAAAATAAGTCGACCCGAGTGTTGAAAATCGAGAGTAATCTCAACCCTCAGATCGCCAAAAACCTAACAAGCTTCCGAGAGAATGTCGACGTTTTTGCATGGACTCATGCTGACATGACCAGGATCAACCCGAATGTCATATGTCATGCACTACACATTGACAATGCGGTCAAGCCGGTTTGCCAGAAGAGTCAGGACTGGCCTAGTAGAGGATAACATAGATCCTCGCATCTAAGAGTGCCCCTACAGTAGGCCAGTTGACAACTTATCTAAGGTGTCAGTCGATCAAAATAAGCCGACTCAAGAGTTAAAAATCGGGAGTAATCTGAACCCTCAGCTCGCTAAAAACTTGACAAGCTTCCTCAAAGAAAAGGTTGACGTTTTTGCATGGACTCATACTGACATGACCGGGATCAGCCCGAATGTCATATGTCGTGCACTACACATTGACAGTGCGATCAAGTCGGTTCACCAGAAGAGAAGAGCAATGGACCCTGAACGATATGCTACCTTGAAAACTGAGGTAGATAAGCTCATTTTGAATGGGTCCATTCGGGAAGCGCTTTACTTGAGCTGGGTTGCCAATTTGGTCTTGGTAAAGAAGCCCAATGGCAAGTGGTGAACCTGTGTCGACTTCACTGACCTCCATAAAGCATGTCCGAAGGACAACTTTCCCTTGTCGAGGATCAACCAGCTCGTCGATGCCATCTTTGGGCACGAGCTACTAAGTTTTATGGACATCTACTCAAGATATAATCAGATCTCGATGTACGTACCACACGAAGAGCATATCTCATTTGTTATAGATCGGGGACTATATTGTTACAAGGTCATGCCCTTCGGCCTAAAAAACGTTAGGGTAACTTACAAGTGGCTAATTAACCATATGTTTTCCAAACAGATCGGAAAGTCGATGGAAGTCTATGTTAATGACATGTTGATCAAGTTGTATGTTGCTTCAGATCACATAGCGCATCTCGTTGAGATGTTTGATGTAGCTTAATCCTCTTAAATGCTCATTCAGAATATCCTCGGGAAAGTTCCTAGGGTATATAGTTAACCAGAGGGGGCATCGAAATCAACCTGGAGAAGATCCAAGCTCTCCTTGATATGAAGAGCCTGACCAACCAAAAATAGGTTCAGAGCCTAAATGGGGGAATAGCGGCTCTCAGTCGCTTCATATCAAGAGCAACAGATCGTTGCTTGCCATTTTTCAATTACTCAAGGCCAACAAAAAGTTCGAGTGGACTCTAGGGTGTGAGCAGGCTTTTTAGAGCATAAAATAACACCTCGGAAAGCCACATCTCCTATCCAAGCCTCTTCCCAAGGAAATTCTACTCCTGTATCTGTCCATCTCTCAGCATGCGGTCAGCACAGCTCTTATTTGGGAAGAGGGCAGAGTTCAATGGCCAGTGTATTACGCAAGCAAGCGACTGCTGGACGCCAAGATGCGGTATCCAAAAATGGAGCAATTAGCTTATGCCCTATTGATCGCCTCCAGAAAGCTGCGACCCTATTTCCATGCCCACACAATCCATGTTCTGACCAACTACCCACTTAGGCAAGTTTTTCAGAAGTTAGAAGCTTCGGGTAAGTTACTCAAATGGGCAATGGAACTAAGTCAGTTTGATTTGCATCACAGACCAAAAGCAACCATCAAAAGGCAAGCTATTACCAATTTCATTTCAGAATTCTCGTACCAGCCGAATCGAGAATCAAAGCAGCAAGCCAGCGAAGTCATCTAGAAAACCATTTAGAACTTATCGACTTGGAGCCTCTATGTCGATGGTTCCTCGAACTAGAAAAGAGCCGAGGTAGGTCTTCTCCTCCTCAGCCCCGAGCAGACTCACATCTATGGAATTCTTCAATTTGGGTTCCAACCTATGAATAACGAGGCCGAATATGAAGTGTTACTCGTTGGTCTACGATTAGCGAGAGAAATAGGATCAAGCACGATCATTATTCACAGCAATTCCCAACTGGTTGTTAATTAGATCTTAGAAGAATATCAAGCCAATGAAGAGAACATGATCAACTATCTGAAGAAAGCTAAGGCCGCACTCGAGTCTTTCAAGCACTTCATGATCAAGCAAATTTTGAGAGATAGTAACTCTATCACAGACGTCTTGGCAAGAATAGCCTCGTCGCTAGACTCAGATGTACCAGAAAGTATTCCAGTTTGGTACATAGAGATTCCTAGTATCAGCTCGCCTGAGCAGACCATAGTTACAACAGAGTCAATTTCCTAGATGACTCCAATCATTCAGTATCTCCGAGATGAGACTCTGCCCAGTGACAAGACTGAGGCAAAAATCCTACACACCAAAGTTGCTTGTTACACGCTTGTTGGAGATCAGTTGTACAAGCGAGGGTTTAGCGCCTCTTTCCTCCGATATGTAACCGACGAAAAAGCAGATTATATTATGAGGGAGATACATGAAGGGATCTGCAGTAATCACACTGCTACACGATCCCTCGCCAACAAAATTGTCCGCCAATGGTACTATTGGCCTCTACTTTAGGAAGACACTTTCAATTTTGTGAAAAAATGTGACAAGTGTCAGCGAACATCCGCAAGCTCCTTCCCACCAATTGACAACAATGACAAGCCCCATGTAGGGGATTGATCTCATTGAACCTATGCCAGCCGGAAAGGGGGGTGTCAAGTATGATATGGTTGCAATAGATTACTTCACCCAGTGGGCCGAGGCTGAACCCTTGACCGTGATCACTACCAAGAAGCTCAAAGACTTCGTCTTCAAGAATATAGGGTACTGTTACGGGATTCCTCATACACTCATCTATTAGAGTAGATGCCCTAGAGCCAATCAATTATTGTAGAATTGACTCTTTGTAATAATGTTCATTAATCAATAATAAAAGGCATTTTATTTTATATCGCGTAAATCATTATTATTGCAATATGTATTGATATATGTCCTTAAAATGGTAGAAACATGACGAGGGTATCAAGTGTTTCAAATCTTGATAGTGAGAACCCTATGAGCACATATGGTGGTCATTCTAGAAACGTCCGTAGCCCTAGTATTATTCTTAAGTAAGGGCACAGATAATACGGTAAGGCTATCATAGTGTTGAACGACCCTGTCGAAAGGCAGTGACTGATTTCACTTGTCAAGGTTGTTTGGTGACAACCTGGTGCAACACATGGGTGCTTGCTGTAGGCGGATACACCGCAGCAAGTTCACTGGACTGACCCACCAGAGAATTCCATATGGATGGTAACCCCAGTGTCTATGGAATAAATCCTCTAATGAATGGTGGTGTATGTGATCCTTAGACTTGAGATCACCAAAGCGCTTTGTGCACCAATTGGTGCAGTTTGACACTAGCCTAACGCAGTTCTTTTCAGAGCTATCAATACGGTGGTGATTGGCTGCATTGAGGAGTGTATCAAGACTATGGTGGATTGACAGAGGATTCATTACTCCCAGGTATGGGAGAAGTTATCTCACGGCGCAATTCAGTATATGGCAATGACACTAAAACTATGGCCACAGTGGGATTGAGTTGTTGCTCTATCCAATTTATAATACGGGTCATTGGTCCAGAAACTGAATACATAATATCGAGAGTAACCGAAGGTTAACACTATTTATATGCCTTCATCTCGTCGAGATAACGTATGATGAAAGGATCGAATTGCACGATAACCATATCGTTGACAGGTAGCTACTTTGTTGAATCCGAATCTATCGGGGTGGTATGATGCCTTGCTAGGGGCCAATCTTGGTCTGTGTACAGTGAGACGATTAATTGGTGTTAATCGCGATACTATACACTGCTGGTATGATGAGGAGCCTATGGGTCACACATATAGAAGATAATTTAAGATCCAAGAAGAAGGAAGGGTGTTTTCGTCTTTTTAAGGCGAAAGGGTATTTTGATAATTTCACAGTGCAATTAAATTTGCTGAAGGTCGTAGCCTTTATTTAATTAGAAAAATTAAATAAGTGAAATTACGGTTAAATATATGTTCACATATATTTAATTAAATCATCATTATTGTTAAATGTTAATATATAGATTAAGTATATATTAATTGAGTTTAATTGAGATAATGATGAAATAAATAAAATATCTAATTAGGGACTGTTTGGTAACATGGGGTGTTTGGGTTGGAGCCCAAGCCTATTCCATATGGGAATAGGGCATTAAAGTTTTACTATAAAAGAAAATGTTTATTTGTAAAATGACACAATTAATTTGATTAGCTCATTTTTCATTGTAAAACCAAATACACAGCAGCCCCATTTTACTCTCCCACGGCAGGAACACCTTTTGGCCTAAAAATCAATTCAATTGATTTGCTTTCTTCTTAATCTTGAAGCCAAAGAGGATCTAGCAAATCCCTCTTTGGTTCTTTTGAGATTGTCTTCGTGTGGACTACGTGGGTTCAATCCTACACTTGGATCGGTAGCAAAACATTCGTTGACAAATTTGGAGAAGCCTCCAACGTGCATTTGTTTTCTTTAAACTCAGATTTATTTTTCTGCAGATTTTATTTTAATATGAATTGTAAAATTATACCCTTGATCTTGGCTCATGTAAACGATCTCTATATTATATTTGTTTTGTTTTCGCTGCGTATATGGGACCTTTTACTAACATCATCTTTGATAATGGGAAGCAGTTCGACAATGAGGAATTCAAGTAGTTTTTTGATAAGCTGGGGATCAATAAAAAGTTCGCCTCAGTCACAAGACCGCAAGCTATTGGTCAAGTTGAAGTTGTCAACAAAACCATCAAGCACACTCTAAAGGCCAAGCTTAGCGCTGCCAAGGGTAATTGGGTCGATGACCTCCCAGAAGTTCTATGGGCATATAGAGCAACTCCGAGAACCTCTACTTCGGAAACGCCTTTCTCACTAGCATATGGCTGCGAGGCTATGATCCCAGTGGAAGTAGGAACTGGTTCGCTCCAGAGGGACCTTTTCAATGAAATAGTAAATGAAGCACTTCTACGTGCAAGTCTGGACCTAGTTGAAGAACACCGTGACAAGGCTCAGTTAAGGATAACATTCTACTAGCAGCGTGAGAAAAGGTTCTTCGACTCTAAGGTCAGGAGAAGAGACTTTCAGGTCGATGACCTAGTTCTAAAAGAAGTCATTCTCGGTACAAGGGAATCGAGTGAGGGGGTATTGGAACCTAACTGGGAAGGTCCATACCGCATCGCCAAGGTAATACGACCAGGAACGTATCACCTCAAGAGGCTTAATGGTTTTGAAGAATCGCGAGCTTGGAATGCTGAGTATTTTCGCCCCTATTATCAGTAATTCCGAACTTGCTCTTAATTTTCTATTTCTTTTACTTATAAAGTTTTCCTTGTAACCTTTATAAATAAGATCGTTCTTCTTTGTCTTGAACAAATATGTCTTGTATGATCTTGTTCGTTACGATGTTTTACAAGTTTCCTGTCTAGATATGTAACATTAGTCTTGTGAAGTGCTCGAACTATAGAAGTGCTATCACAAATGGCTAAAAATACTTCTTTTATATATGTAATTTGAGTAAGTACAGTGGGCAACCAAAAAAGATAAGTAATAAAAAGAAAGAGTCAAAAGAAAAGTTGTGCAGAAGTAGAAGAAGTGATCATTGGTCTCCACCTCTAGGCTTTGCGAGCGCGACCTCTATATCCCTCGGTTGGTCGCCGACTATCCGATCGGCTGCTGGGTCCTCAGGGACGTATTCCTCCAGCTAGTCATCCTCTAGAAGAGGCTCTTGTCCCTCTTTCTCTTTGGCCTCATCATCAGCTTGGGCCATGGAAGCAAGGATGTCCTGATATTCAATTGGGAGGTCGGAGAAGTCCATCCTCGGATTCCTTGGTCGTAAGCTGTTGATGGCCTGAATTGCCCAGTCAATGGCCTTCCTATGGAATTTAAGGTTTTTCCGCTTCATCTAATCAGTTAATGAAGCGACCCGCCTTTGGGAAAGCTCAAGGTCCTAATGTATACTTTTTTAACTAAATTCAAGTTCCAATGGATGATAGGCTACCCTTCACCTTTCAATTTTCAATGGTTTTAAATGAATGCACCGTATCTAATCAGCTGCAGCGTGTCTGCATAATAAATAAAATATTCAATTCATATTCTAAATGTAGGTGAGAAAATTTGCCTAAATTTACGTTAACACCATAATTAATTTCGAAGAAACCGCACAAAGGTAAAAAAAGATGGTTATTGGATTTTCTTCACAGTGACTAATCCCAACCTCATAACTATAGTAATTTATCTATGATGATAAAACAAGCCCCCAAGTGTAAATAGAAAACCATGACAACATTGCATAATGGCTCTTGAAACTCTAGCAGGAAACAGAGCTTTCACCAACGACAGTAAAATCATTGAAAGATGAATCCAGTTGAAATTCCATATCCCATGCTTCTAATAATCATGTAAGTCTTTGAGTAAATAACTTATGATACAAGATTGACTCTCAACCAGAAAACTGAATGAATATATACATAGAATTGCTACCCAGTCAGCCACTGGAGAATAGGTTTAGAAAATACCAACAACATAATTCATGTCACTCACATAGTTCCCTTTTCCATAATTTCTGTAATATGCCAAGCTGCATGAGAGGTTTGTGTGTGTGCAGATTCACAAGTGCCATTCAGAGTAAGGATTATATTCATAAACACACTCGTGAATGCATTAACACTCCAAAGCTCCCAGACCTTCTCAGAGGAGCAGGATTCAAGAAAGTCAGTCTCAAACACTTCAGGGCAGCTACCATGCTCCATTAAACAGTGCATTTAATTTTATTTTATTTTTTTTCATTCTTATCATTATCAACACAAATCTACACCCGGGGAATGCATTCTATATGCATAATTGTAAAAACACATCACCACATCTGGTCATTGAGGCATCCATAGCTCCTAAAGTCTGAAAAAGGGGTGACACTCAGGGATAACTTAGTCTCTGTATAGTGTTCCGTACGATGGCATGGAAGAGCAAAAGAAACCCTTATATGCCTTTCTTAAACCCTAGAAAAACCCTTGGGGATGAACCCTTAAGGAGTCGTGCCCTAAGTCCTCACTCTTTATGAAAGAAAAAACCCTCTTCTGACCACTTTTCGGAAATACGCACCGTAAAAGCTTACCAGATAGTTCGTACCCACCATTATCGCAAAAGTCAAGCAATCAACAAAATAATAAAAGAAAACGAAAGAGATATCCTTCTTACCTCTTGGCTGCGGGGAATGAACTTCTTGTCATAACGAAGAGTACGCATCAACTGGAAGAAAGGCGGACTGATTTCGTGAGAATTTTGCTTTTTCTCTTAAAATTTGAGTTTCGTGACAAAACTTGAATCGAGCCCAGGGTTTTATAAGGGGAAAACGATGATTGGCTTCCCTAGACAAGTGACGCTTGGGCTATATACGTTTCTCGCCATTGATTGTGACCACGTGTCATTAATCCGCGAGAAGAAGTAGCCGCCACGCTTCGTGAATGCCAATCGACGCTTCCCTCCATTTGAGCAACCAAGCGTCAGCCTGGTTATCTCCACCACATTAAATGCGCCCTCATCCGCATTCAATGCTCTGAAAGAGAATGTCGTTTTAGCATGGCTTGCATTTAATGTACATGGCTGACACTTATTATGCAATGGACACGTTTGTCAGGATAAATATTATTTTATTGACTAGACTAGCTATCAAGTGTAACGGATAACATTTGAAGAGGTCATTCGAGTAAAACACTATTCACCGTGTATCAGTTTCAAGACGATGCGATTCCTTACTTTCGGTAAAAATGTGTTAAGTATTCTCAGGTCGAGAGTTGTGGACGGCATTCAAAGCATGTCGGTATGACATTGAGTAGGGTCTGATCTAGGTCGTTGAACCTGTGGGAGTAGGCCACCTCAGGTCGCTTATGCCATTCTTAAAGGTATATGCTGCGACCTCCTTGCAGCTTGATCAGCTCGACCAAACGTCATTCGGGACAAGTCAAGTCATGACACAACCATGAAATTCTCAAGGTTCAATCCTTAAACCTTAAAAACTAGGGGGCTTTTGTTATGCCTAAAAAGTTAGGGCTAACGTGGACTTTCGTTAGCAAGAGCTAATCAAAATTCAGAGAGGATTTGTGCCGTCTAGATGTTGCCACATCGTGCAATGATGGAAGAGGTATGGTTCTGATCAGTGTAGCAGGTGAATGTCAGACTTGGGAGTGGCTAGGAATCATCCACCTGCCCAAGCCTTACGCAATTTAAGGATATCTCTTGTGCAGACAACCAATGAGAAACGGGTTAGGAATTACACCCCACTTGCCGAACTGCATGTTCGTAATTATTACCTTGAATCCTCCCACTATAAATAGATGGCTCCCCTCTCATTTACAGGATTGGCTTATCTTAGTCTAAACAACATACACACACACACACACACACTCTCTCTCTCTCTCTCTAGATTGTAACTCAGCTCGCTATCTACGACCTGATTGTAACCATCTATTAATATAACTACAGTGGATGTAGGAATCGCTTTTGAACATCCGAACCACTTTAAAACCGTCTTTTATTTACTTTCTTGCTATACATTTCCGTATGACGTGTAACTTCAAGCCCGCTTAGCATTTTCCACGTGTGAGTCATTGGTGTCAAAATCAAGCATCAACAGTTTGACGCTAGAAAGAGACAGTGATTTAGTATCTGTTCTTCATCAGAAACCTCTAACTAATCGGTCCTACCTATCAGCAGATTCTCGCGGTTTCGAAACTGAGCGAACCGACTTTGACAATGAGGAAATCCCTCAGGTATAGGATGACACTTCTCCCGAAGTGCCACCAGTCCAACAGAGTATCATGGCGAATATTCCTTCAACCTCATAGCTCGACCCAGCCATGATGAGTTACCTTGAGAGGTTCAATGATACTCTCCAAACAGTTAGCCAAAGGTTGGACCGTTTGGATCGAGTCATGCCGCCAGAGTCCAATGAAGCAGTGCCACCTCCAAAGATGCCTACAGGTCGCACAAAAGCGCGGAAAAAGGCAAAACCCCATACCACACACACTGTAGTGCACAAAAGTAAGGGAAAGCAAGTGGCGAGCAGCGGATCAAAAGGCTCCAAGGGACCAGCGAACACCGGTCATGCAACGGGTAGAATACCTGTGGCATTGCGACTCGATGACATGTCGCAACATGAGCCATCCCACACCACGTCGCATGGGCACTCCCACAAAAGTGCATGGCAGGGAGATTCCCAATATTGCTGAAATGACGACCTCAGCCATCGTCATGCGGGAAACCCCCTAGTGTTGATTGGAAGCATGTAAACAAGACATTATACCTTCTCCTAGTGCTTAGGTTTGATGAAGCCAAGATTCAAAAGTATGAATCCTCCACACTTTAACACCACCTTGAGAGAAGGAGAGAGTGGCCGAACCTAAGAAAGAGAGCTTGTTTTTCTTTTGAGTGAACAAATGAACACTTAACCTAAAATGCAACCATTTGCATTTATATATACATGGGTCATTTTGCAATTACTTGTTTTTCACTTGCATGGCCCAATAAAATCTTATTCTAAAAAAAGCCCAAGCATTTATTAATTTGCCCTTTGAATAATCAATATTATTCAAGGGCCCTTGTAAACTAAACTATTTTACATTAACAACCCATAAGTTTACCCTTTTGCCCTTTAACTATTAAAAGGTTATTTTAGTTCATATCATTTATCTTAACGCTTTAAGATATAATAATTAAATATAATTAATCATTCTTGACCATTTTAACCTTTAAAATGTCACAAATAATTTTCTATGTAACTATTGCCATAGAAATCCTATTATTAACCTCACAAGGTGCTAGCCCTCTTCGGATAATCATTTCTCTCTCTTATCATTATCTAACATCTCAAGGCTATTGGTGTGACCATGTAGGTCCACCGTGGATTAGCCATGAGTCAGTTCTAGATGAATCCGAAAACCTGTCTGGAGGCCCAACGACTACGGTAAACATCTAGCAATGTGCCATAGTCCCTAAACCACGATGAAGAAATACTTTATCGAACCATTTTCAGATCATATGTACCATGCATGTAAAGTCCCTCCATTGATATATCTTGATCGAGTACAGATTCATGGAACGTCAAAATCCTAAACTCGATCTTCTACCGAATCGTCGATCAATATGTCTGAAACTTGTCATCACGAACTTGCTTTCGTATGACTAATAATAGACTCTGGCCAGAGTTTCTGATTTTTGACATTTATTGACGTTTGTCCAGGAACTCGAATCTGGATAGAGTCAGCGGTACTCTTGATCCTATATTTCCGAGTCAATGGATCCCTTATTGACCATCGTTCTTTTTCGCATATGAACAACGCATGACCAAATAGGCTTTATCATATGAAACATGACTAGTCTCGTACTTATACACCGTATGAACCATATGCATCCGTATCAGATCCAACCACAATGTCTCAGGTCAAAGGACTATATTGTGCACTGATATAACCAAACGATAAATCATTAACTATATGTTTTTCCAAGTGATTTGTCGTTATTTGGTCACGTTCGAAAAACAGTTCACCAACCGCTAATCCATACTAATGCCCCAGTGACATGACTATCATCATCGCCTGTACTTATATCAATTCATAATATCTTTCGGAAGCATCCACTATGCCTACTTTGCAATATAGTTGCCCAAATTATATTGCTTCTGTAGAGAACCTTTTGATAAATTCATTTACCGATTAAATGAATCATTTGGACAATTCATATACATACTTTATTTTAAATGCATGACTAAATAAAGGAAGCAATTTATATATATATATGAATTGAAGAACTCTTTCTTCTATTATTTATGACATATTGATGCAAGACAAAATGCTCTAAAACCGACAACACGAATGGTTTTTAGGGCATACACTAACATACACTAATAAACTCCCATTTACACTAAAGCCATTTGATGTTGTATCTCATACCCATCTTCTCAAGATAATGGTCCAATTGCTTCAGTGTCATCGTCTTAGTCAGTGGATCAGCTACATTTTCTACTAAAGGTGTCTTCAAAATTATAATCTCTCTAGCTCCAACAAATTCTGTCAGAATGTGATACGTGTGCTGAATGTGTATGGATTTTTGGTGTGCCCTTAGTTCCTTCGCCTGTGCAATAGCTCCAGTATTGTCACAGAACATGCTTATCGGGTAAGCCATGTTCAGAACCACACCAAGTTCAATTACAAACTTTTGCATCCAAACAGCCTCCTTTGCTGCTTCTGAAGCACCAATGTATTCAGCCTCTGTAGTGGAGTCTGTTGTAGTTGTTTGTTTTGACCTTTTCCGAAGAACAGCAGCTCCATTACATATAAAAATGTACCATGACGTAGAATTTCTATTGTCAATATCTGATTGGAAATCAGAATCTGAGTATCCTTGAATGTTTAATTATGAACATCCATAACTCAGAACTAGATCCTTAGTTCTTCTTAAGTACTTAAGGATCAACTTTACAACCAACCAATGTTTCTCCCCTAGATTTGACTAATATTTGCTCATAACACTTACATCATAAGCTATATAAGGTCTTGTACATAGCATTGTTTACATTAAGCAACCTACGGCAAACACATAAGGCACATTATGCATCCGTTGTCACTCTTCATTGGTCTTTGGACCCATCTCTTTGGAAAGATGAAGACCGTGAGTGAAGGGCAAGAGACCTCTCTTACAGTTCTCCATGCTAAATCTTTTCATCATTTTCTCTATGTACAATTTCTGAGATAATCCAATTACCTTTTTCGCTCTATCTCTATAGACACGAATGCCAAGGACATAGGTTGTTTCTCCTAAGTCTTTCATTAAGAAGGTTTTGGATAACTAGAATTTAACCTTTGTCATCATGCCTACGTCATTTCCCATCAAAAGTATGTCATCTACATATAATATGAGAATCGTGATGGCATGATCTTTAACCCATTTGTATACACAGGGCTCATTCGGATTCTTGACAAAACCAAACGATTTGATTATGTCATTAAATCGAATGTTCCAGCTCCCTGAAGCTTGCTTCAATCCATAAATGGATCGAAGCAATTTGCATACCTTATGTTTTTCAGCAGAGGATACAAAACTTATTAGTTGTTCCATATAAATGTTTTCCTCAATAAACCCATTAAGGAAAGTTGTTTTGACATCTATCTGCCAAATTTCATAATCATGGTATGCTGTGATGGCTAGTATTATACGGATGGATTTAATCATAGCTACAGGCAAGAAGGTCTCCTCATAATCTAATCCTTGTTTCTAAGTATAACCTTTTGCCACCAGTCGAGCTTTGAAGGTCTCTACCTCCCCATCCTTGCCAACTTTTCTCTTGTAGACCCATTTGCAACCTATAGGAACTATTCTCTTTGGTGGATCCACAAGTGACCATACTTGATTGGCATGCATTGATTCTATCCTAGAATCCATCACTTCCAGCCATTTTCCTGAATCTCTATCCAGTATTGCTTCTTCTTAGCTTCTAGGATCATCACCATGATCATCTACTCCTACTATATAAGATTCAAAATCTTGCTCATGTAGGAACCCATATCTTTCTGGAGGTTTTGATATTCTATAAGACTTTCACACTAGAACCATAGTATCTGATACTGAGGTTTGCTGAGTGGACGTTCCAGCTTTAGCAATCTTGGTTCTTGACTCTTTGAACTCTTCCTTTAGTTCAATATTTCTTCCAACACCGCCTTTCTCCAAGAAGTCGTTCTCGAGGAAGCGCACATTTCCACTAATCCAAACTCTTTGATCACTTGGAAAATAAAAGTAATATCCTAAACTATCTTTAGGATATCCAATGAACTAGCCCATCTCGAATTTAACATCCAACTTATCAGATTTAACCAATTTAACATAAGCTGGGCAGCCCCAAATCTTCATATAATTCAGACTTGGACATTTTCCATACCATATCTCATACGGTGTTTTCTGAACAGTTTTAGATGGGACCCTATTAAGGATGTGCACAGCGGTCAGGAGAGCGTACCCCCACAGAGACATTGGCAAGTTTGTAAAACTTACCATCGATCGTACCATATCCAATAGGGTACGATTTCTCCTTTCAGACACTCCATTAAGCTGGGGTGTATATGGAGGAGTCAATTGTGAGATGATCCCATTTTCTTTTAAGAACTCCTGAAACTCTGTACTCAAGTATTCACCTCTACGATCTGATCGTAGTATTTTAATACTCTTTCCAGTTTGATTTTCTACTTCATTCTTGAATTCTTTGAATTTTTCAAAGGATTTAGATTTTTATTTCATTAAATACAAATACCCAATCGTGACATATCATCTGTAAAGGTAATGAAGTATTCAAATCCTCCCCTGGCTAAAGTACTAAATGGTCCACACACATCTATATGTATGAGTCCTAATAGTTCTTTAGCTCACTCTCCTTTATTCTTAAAGTGAGATTTGGTCATCTTTCCTTAGAGACATGATTCACAGGTTGGATAGGGTTCAGAACCCAATGAGTTTATGATCCCACTTTCTCCAAGCTGTACTAATCTTCTCTCTCTTATATGACCTAATCTATGATGCCATAGAATTCTAGGATTTGATTCAAATCAAGTTCTTTTATTGCAAATGGTATTGATTGAAGCATAGTCATTTAGTTCTAAGACATACAAACCATTTGTATTCATAGCTTTACCAACTAAAACATTTCCAAAAAGTATTGAACATTCATTTCCATTCAACAGTACATGGTAACCTACTTTACACAAAGCAGAAATAGAAATGATGTTTCTAATGGCTTTTTCAAAGTACAATACTTTAAATAAATTCAAAACATGTCCTAAAGGTAGTCTTATTGGGCAAGTCCCCATGGCCTTAACTACAACTCGTGCCCTGTTTGCCATCCTCAAAATGATCTCGCCCTTTGTCACCTCAAAACTATTCTGAAGTACCTGCAAAGACATACAAACATGAGATGTTGTTGCTGAATCTAATATCCAGGAATGACTATCTCAATTAACACTTAATTCATATTCAATCATAAGACATTGGTTTATACCTGCTTTTCCTTTGCCTTTCCTCAAACTGTTCAAGTATTGAGGATAGTTCTTCTTCCAGTGTCCATCTTCTCCACAGTGGAAACATTTTCCCTTTGCATTAGCATTCTCTACCTTTGCCGTTGGCTTCTTGAAGCTCTTATTCTTGTGTCCAAATTTTGGACCTTTCTTTTGTTGCTTTTTGGGCCTTTTATTGGCCATACTGGTAGAGGCGGCAAAGACATCCTCATATCTTTTCCCTTTCACATTCTGCCTGTGAAATTCTTGAAGCTCATTTAGCAATTCAGAGAGGTTTCGCTCAATCCTATTGAGATTGTAGTTAGTTATAAATGGTTTATAACTTGAAGGAAATGATTATAGAATCAAATTCACTTTGAGGCAGTCTAGCATGACCACCCCATATCCATCCAGTCGACCTAATCCATTGATCATTTTAATAGTATGATCATCTAGATGTACCCCTTCCCTCAACTTCATGCTAAAGAGGGATGCATATAACTCATATTCAACCACTCTTGGATTTTCGCTATACAACTCTTGTAGAGCTATGAGGATATCATAAGCATTCGAAACCTTTTCATGCTTAGTCTTAAGTTCTCTATTCATTGAGGGTAGCATGTAATTTCTAGCCCTCCTACTATGCTCTCTCCATTTTTCAAAAGCATCGAGTCCAATATCAAGTGGAAGAGGTGCTTCCAGTACATAAGCAATCCTTTTGAAATCTAGAACGATTATGAGATTTCTTAGCCAATCTTTAAGGTTGGGTCCAGTTAACATGTTATTATCCAGTATCTTTAGGAGAACATTGTTGGCCATTTTTTATTTTTTTTTATTGTATATCACAAGGATGAAACTGCAAAGAAAAATAATTTTATTTGTGTCTTGTAATCCTTTTAAACCTTTTATTGCATCATCAAATTAGCTCCCACTATTTTATTCGAGTCCTACACTCCCTTAGATAGGATCTGAAAATTTTCATTGGATTAAATTTCTTAGTTGGGAATCAGTTTCTTATTAAATTCAATTAACCTCACATAATAGAATTCTTGGTCAATTAAGTCTAATAAGTAGGAAACTATTTTCTTTTTATATCACTATATAAGATTTGATCCATATTCCTTGTCCTAGCTTCGGATACCTCACATAATAGAATTCTTGGTATCCTAGGCTAGTTAAATCCGAACCATTGTGCTTTCTTAGGATGACATTTTCATCATGTCCTCACATAATAGAAATCTTGGTCAAGGTGAAAATATCCATCCAAGAACAAGATCAACTTAATTCTATGATATAAAGATCATATCCCTCATATAATAGAAATCTTGGAATATTAAAATTTATATCAAAGAATTTAGTTATCCCATAATGGGAGACTTTAATAATTTTAATTGGGGAGATTTAGGTTTAACCTTAGTTAATTAATTCTTTAACATGTCATGTTTAACTAACTTTCCATACATATCATATATATGCATAAATTAAAGTATGTGAGTTGACCATGGGGCTTTTCAAAAATACATCCTAAAGGTAAACTATTTACCTTAATCATATATCTTCGATCGGATCGTCATCTGGATGCTCTTCGGGTTCCCGTCCAGCCGATTCAATTACAAATTGGATCTTAGGCATGCATGCCCGATTAAAATAAATAAATAAAATTTAATTAGTACAGGCCATTTGATAAAAGAATATTACAAATACTTCTGAATATTTTGAAAACTAAATGGCACCCATGATCACCCTTTAATCTAATATTCATTCATTACATAAATAAATATTAAACATTCATACCAAATATAATAAACAATTATTTAAAGGCATGAATACAAACAATTTAATATATATATATATATATAAAGATATTATATATATGCATGTGGTAATTTTACCATAACTTTGGAGCATGCAACAATTACACATTTCAAGAGAATCATTACACAAACACTTTTGTCACATTCCACCCAAAAATATAATAATGATTTTGCTATTTAATTATTAACATCATTTCAAGACTTTTCAAAAAAGTCATACATGACATAGATAAATGGGTTTTATTACTTCAAGAGTAATCATTCTATGACACAAGTTACTTTAAATAAAATAATGATTTTTATGACACATTTATCTTTTCAAAAACAATCATATCATCTTGCATAACCCTCTTTTTTTTTTAAACTATTTAAAAACAAATTATTACATTTCAAGATATAATAATTTATGCCATGCAATGATGCATTATATGATAATTTAATCAAATTAAATATCATACATTGAAATTACCATCATCATGTATACATAATATCATAATTCATCACATGAATTAATAATCCATAACTTCATGCCAACATTATTTTCCACCTTTAAACACTTGCAATATTTGCATACTCTTCATACAAAATCCACTTTAATCAAATTAAAGGATAACACTTTTATCATGTCAAAGCATAAAAAATTTAATCAAAGTCATGGAAATGAACATGCATGATTATTTCTTTAAATAAATCATCATGCAACATTTCCCAAAACATTATTCATCAAAGCATGAATGAGATGACAAATTTTATGGCAAAAAATAGTCATGGCCGAACATGACAAATAAGAAAGCCATAACATAGCACATGCATGTAGTTCTCAATACATCTCATTTAATAACCATCATCCACGCAAACATTATCACATTTTAACACATCTAATCATATTATAGCAAGATGAAAAACACATTTTCACAAAGTAAGGAGATGGCTTAATCATATACATGCATAAAAAATGCTTATTCCAACTAACAACTCATTCAATACAAAGGTATGCTTATTATCAACATAACTGCCATTCAAAACACATGAGAATGACATGAAAAAAAATATTTTTTTTTTTTTTTTTTGTTGTTGTTATTTTTTTTTTTTTATTTGTTTTGTTTTATTTTTTTTTTTTTTTATTTAAGCACTAACATGCAAACTCAAACCGTGTATAATGAACATGAGAACACATGGAATAACATGACTTTTGCTCAAAACCAACATGCAAGGAGCTTTTAAGCTCTGACACCATATGAAAGATCCATGAAGAGGTGGCAGAAAATGTTGATTGGAAGCATGTAAACAAGACATGCATGTAAAGATATGAATTAATAGGATTCAAAAACCGTAAATAAAGCATAAAAACATTATACCTTCTCCTAGTGCTTAGGTTTGATGAAGCCAATATTCAAAAGTATGAATCCTCCACACTTTAACACCACCTTGAGAGAATGAGAGAGTGGCCGAACCTAAAAGAGAGAGCTTGTTTTTCTTTTTAGTGAACGAATGAACACTTAACCTAAAATGCAACCATTTGCATTTATAGATACATGGGTCATTTTGTAATTACTTGTTTTTCACTTGCATGCCCCAATAAAATCTTACTCTAACAAGAGCCCAAGCATTTATTAATTTGCCCTTTGAATAATCAATATTATTCAAGGGCTTATGTAAACTAAACTAGTTTACATTAACAACCCATAAGGTTACCCTTTTGCCCTCTAACTATTAAAAGGTTATTTTAGTTCATCTCATTTATCTTAACGCTTTAAGATATAATAATTAAATACAATTAATTATTGCTTGACCATTTTAACCTTTAAAATGTCACAAATAATTTTCTATGTAATTATTACCATAAAAATCATGTCATTACCCTCGGAAGGTGCTAGGCCTCTTTGGGTAATCATTTCTCTCTCTTATCCTTCTCTAACTTCTAAAGGTTATTAGTGTGACCATGTAGGTCCACTGTGGATTAGCCGTGAGCCGGTTCTGGATGAATCCGAAAACCTATCCGAAGGCCCAACGACTATGGTAAACATCTAGCAATGTGTCATAGTCCCTAAACCACAATAAAGAAATATTTCATGGAATCCTTTTCAGATCATATGTACCATGCAGGTAAAGTCCCTTCATTGATATATCCTAATCAAGTACAGATTCATGGAACGTTAAAATCCTAAACTCGATCTTCTACCGAATCGACGATCAATATGTCCGGAACTTGTCATCACGAACTTGCTTTCGTATGACTAATAATAGACTCTGGCCAAAGACTTTGATTCCTAACATTTATCGACGTTTGTCCAGGAACTTGAATCCGGATTGAGTCAGTGGTACTCCTGATCCTATACTTCTTGATCGGTACGGATTCATAGAACGTCAAAATCCTAAACTCGATCTTCTATCGAATCGTTCGATCAATATGTACGGAACTTGTCATCACGAACTTGCTTTCGTATGACTAATAATAGACTTTGGCTAGAGATTCTGATTCCCAACATTTATCGACGTTCGTCCAGGAACTCGAATCCGGATAGAGTCAGCAGTACTCCTGATCCTATATTTTCGAGTCAATGGATCCCTTCTTGACCATCGTTCGTTTCTGCATATGAAAAACGCATGACCAAATAAGCTTTATCATACGAAACATGACTAGTCTCGTACTTATACACTGTATGAACCATACACATCCGTATTGGATCCGACCACAATGTCTCAGGTCAAAGGACTACATCGTGCACTGATATAACCAAACAATAAATCATTGACTACATGCTTTTCCAAGTGATTTGTCGTTATTTAGTCATGTTCAAAAAATAGTTCATCAACCGCTAATCCATACTAATGCCCCAGTGATATGACTATCATTGTCATCCATACTTATATCAACTCATGATATCTTTTCGAAAGCATCTAGTATGCCTACTATACAATATAGTTGCCCAAATTATATTGCTTCCGCAGGGAACCTTTTGATAAATTCATTTACCGATTAAATGAATCATCTGGACAATTCATATACATACTTTATTTTAAATGCATGACTGAATAAAGGAAGCAATTTTTATATATGAATTGAAGAACTCTTTCTTCTATAATTTATGATATACTAATACAAGACAAAATGCTCTAAAACTGACAACACGAATGGTTTCTAGGGCATACACTAACAATGGGAAATCAATTTCTAATTAAATTCAATTAACCTCACATAATAGAATTCTTGGTCAATTAAGTCTAATAAGTAGGAAACTATTTTCCTCTTATATCACTATATAAGATTTGATCCATATTCCTTGTCCTAGCTTCGGATACCTCACATAATAGAATTCTTGGTACCCTAGGCTAGTTAAATCCGAACTATTGTGCTTTCTTAGGATGACATTTTCATCATGTCCTCAC